AAAACCAAAAGTACGATATTAGCCCATATGTCAAATACTAATCTATAAAGTCTTCAGACTCATGGGACACATGCAATGACGTTGAATGCAGGAAGAGCACAGGCCAGTGGGTGGAAGCTCTTGTGGATCCAGTGGCGGTGTAAGCATCTCAGCACTGGCAGGGGTCTCCATGTGGCTCAGCTCTGGCTCCGTCAGCCTCTCTCCATGTGTCTTCTACACAGGGCTGTCTTGCAGGGAGTGTGCAGAGAGAGAGCCTTCTGCCTCCAAGGAGGAAATACAGGAGTTCCCAGAATCCTCAGGAGAAGGCCAGGCCCACACAGAGGCCTCATTGGCTATATCCTGATTGACAGACTAGACTCCACCCCTACGCTCTTAATCCTCGAATTGACACCAGATTATGTAACTACCCCAAGTTGTTTAAAGTGTACAAAATTGAGGTAATTGGGTGAAGTATACATCAGAGACACCTAACCAGAGTTCCACAACATAATTTTGATAGAGCACACATTAAGAACTGAGTTTTTAGACTATAATTCCTTGTTACACTAACAGCAGTACTGTTTTCATTGACTCATTTTGATTTGAGGAAACAAATAAAGATTACTCCCCTTTTTTGTTAAAGTTGAGTAACATTTTTTAACTTTTTTTTTTTTTTTGGTTGAGGAGTTAAAATTCTCATTATTAGTTTTGAATTAGTAGTTTGATGCATACTTTTCTTAGGAGCCAAACACCTTTTTCTAAAGTTGTGTGACTGCGGGTAGAGCCACATAACTTTAGCACTTTCTTACAAATGTGATTTGGTGTGGAGAACAGGAATGGAGAACAGCCCGATTAAACCCCTCACCAGTGTTAGAAACCAAGTAGCTGAGGGTATGCTTTTCATCTGGAAAGATGTGAAGGGTATTGATTATTATTTTAAACTTGTTTTATTATTATATTAGTTGGGATTGAATCCATATATCAGATCATTTTAAACATCTTTTTAAAAATCATTTTATTGGGGGCTCGTACAACTCTTAATCACAATCCATACATACATCCATTGTGAGGCACATTTGTGCATTTGTTGTCATCATCATTCTCAAAACATCTTTCTACTTGAGCCTTTGGTGTATTCTTAAAGTCGTTGAGACATAAGTTCAGATCAAATTATGTTAGCTCTCAAACTTATTAAAAAGTTTATCTTCGTATTTTGTGTTAAAGATTTAAAAAAGCTCTGATTTACACAACTGATGCCCAGGAGATGTGTTAATTTTGTTTCCCAACTACTAAATAATAAGTACTGCTTTCCATTTTTAATTTTAGCTCATCTGAATAAATTAGTGAATGAATAATTTGACTTAATTATTCATCTGAATAAATTAGTGGATGAATAATTTGACTTAATTAGATTTAGCCATAAAGTATTTCATGAAATCCAAGCAACCTTTATTAACATCATTATCAAAATGGCAGTTTTAAAAAAATATATCCTCCGTCTAGCTCTATATACTCGGAAGGCACTGTTTTCATCTCTAACCTTTCCTTAAAGAATTCCATGCTCTGCTCTTTACCTATATCAAATTGGCACTTTTGGCATCCTCAAGGGACTTAACTATCTTTTCTTTCAGCACTGTGGGATGCAGCCCACATCCCGATGGGTCCTAAGCGATGGTTGTGTAATTGAAGTCAAGGAATTAATAGGCAGACAAAACTTTGGGAGTGATCACCTCCATGGTATCAGGAACCAGGTCCTGGAGAGAGAGAGAGAGAGAGAGAGAATGTATTCTTATACCAATTTATATAGTCTTAGGGCATACAAGCCCCGCTAATTACAGATAACCACATATATAACAAAGTGGGAAGTATCTTAATGCCTGAGTTCGTTGGAGGAATAGGGATGGGGGAGTGATTGTCCCCTGAGCTGGGAGAGCAACATGTCTGCTCCTATAAACAAAGGTGCTGACTAGATAGCAATCAGCCACGTGCTTGTAAGAGGTAATTTTAAGGTAGCACTTTTATGGGAGGATATTGTGGGGATTATTTTTAATTATAAGAATGTCTCTGGTACACGTCTCGAACTCACAAATGTGAAGGCCTCCCTCCACTCAATTCTGGCCTCCAAGGCTTCTTAAATACTATATGTGAATAAAGAATTTGCCCACATACACTCTCTTCCCGGTCCTCTGTTTCCCACTTGGCAGAACAGGAAATCCTGAAAGGCTAAGATACAGAACTGTAGGATGGATGGGATAGGTTTTCCAAAAGAATGAGCAGGCACGTTGTTGTAAATATAAAAAATGTCTTAGCACAATTTTCCTGGCCTTTTTCTAACCAAAGCAGTTCTTAATTTTCTTAAAACATACTTATCAGAAGCCCCTATGATTAACCTGTGAACTTCAAGAAAATCTGTCGTGACCCCTTTAGAATCTTAAAAAACATTTGCCATAAATCTCACAAACTGACTTCTTTACCCAGATTCCCTCAGGTCACTGTTTTGAATTGGATGCTCTTTTTGAAGACACTGTAATGAGAATAAGACAAATCAAGTATTGCGAGAACTTGACAGCAGCCATCACTGATCACAGCGGCTTGTTTAAACGTTTCCTTTGGCATCAGTCTGTACGTGTATGAGCTGGAATCCCAGTAGCAATACTTTTTTACTTACCCTCATACATGAAGTGGTCTTAAGTGCATGGGAAAAGAAGCGCCAGTGTATATGTAAAGGTTGTTGGGTTTGGAGCCTTAAAAGCACTCTTTAACATTTCTTTCACTGAAACTGCAAGTGTTTTCAGTCATTCTTGATGTTTCCTATCTGCAGTTATCCTGTTCATATGCATTAATGCCATGTTGTGCTAGATATATTTGGAATTCTTGACCCTTTTCTACCTTTTCATATTCTATGTTACCATTCTTATACTGCCTCAAGCCCAGAGTAGCTTTTGTGACTTTGCGCACTCAGTTCTTATATCACTTTGAATCTCTGTTAATGATTAATAGACTTTATTTCAAAAATGTAATAATTTATACTCCTTTTTTTGTCTTTACCATTTATTTCATTTGATTAGTCTTAAGATTTGGTTTGTTTTATATATGATAGTAATTTTTTTTCTTTAAAAATTAATTTTCTAGCATTATGGAAAGTCAATAAAAATAGGTGTCATCTCTTCTCGGCCTTTTGCCTAAGATCAAGTGTAGTATCTGTTCTTATCAGTTTAATATCTGATACGTCCTCTATCCGAGGACAATATATTAAATGGATTTTTGGAGGAGGGAGATGGAATAGGAGCTTGCTCCGTCCACTCCACGCATCGACCTGGTATTGCAGTATTGCCAGGAACGGTGCACCCCCTCGGGGGAATTTTAAAAAAATAGGGGGGCGAGGGGGAATAGGTAAGTCATTCAAGTCAGTCAGGGTACAGTGTAGCAACGATGAAACCTACAACTTCCATCTAGTTCCTAAATGCTTCCTCCCTCACCACTATCATGATCCCAGTTCTACCTTACAAATCTGGCTAGACCAGAGGATGTACACTGGTACAGATAGGAACTGGAAACACAGGGAATCCAGGACAGATGATCCCTTCAGGACCACTGGTGAGAGTATGGATACCAGGAGGGTGAAGGGAGGGTGGGGTGGAAAGGGGGAACCGATTACAGGGATCTACATAGAACCTCCTCCCTGGGGGACGGACAACAGAAAAGTGGGTAAAGGGAGATGCTGGACAGTGTAAGACATGACAAAATAATAATTTATAAATTATCAAGGGTTCAGGAGGAAGGGGGAAGCGGGGAGGGAGGGGGGAAAATGAGCTGATGCCAAAGGCTTAAGTGGAGAGCAAATGTTTTGAGAATGATGAGGGCAGCAAATATACTAATGTGTTTGACACAATTGATGGATGGATGGATGGATGGAATGTGATTAGAGTTGTATGAGCCCCAAATAAAATGATTTTTAAAAAATAGGTAAGTCATTGATTCATGTTTTGACTTTAGGTCTGTTGGGTTTGGGCGAGTGACCCAAAAGCAAAAGTTGCACTGCATTACAGAACTGACCTTTCCCAATTGATCGTTTTTCCCCGCTAGGTGGCAGTCTCCCACAGTTACTGAAAGTGACTTGGCTCTGAGGCGCTTGTATAGTGTTAAATGTAAAGAGTAGAACTGGGATATAGATTTGATAGCTATTGTAGCATTTTTGGAGTTAGATTTGAGATTATTTCAAAAATCCAAGACTTCTTGGGTTAAAATGTACTGATGTTGAGGAGTTTTACGTTTACATGGAATATCAATGAATTTCATTTGGATACCAGATGCATGCTTTTTTTTTAGGTCATAATGGAATATTGACAATACTAATATTGAAGCCTTGCAGAAATTAGCAAGTTTTATCTTTGTGTTTGCTGGTTTTGATTTTTAAAATGGATACCTGTTGTCATGGTATATTTTTTATGACTAAATGACAAAAAAATGGAACAGCTGACTTCTTTTGTAAATCTTTTTCAGCATATCGATGTTTTCTTTTACTTTGTTGCCCTCCCTTAAAGTTGGTTTATTTGAGGTTTTATTTCAGCTACTGAGTAGCTGTAGTTCTTATAGTGATAGTGTTAATGTGAAAACTAGAGATAAAATAAATTTTACCTTTTAGTGTTACTCAAATCGGCAACCTTAGTATAAATGGTTTTTAGTCACTTGGTGTTTATTCATTAAGCATTTATATTTTGTACAAAATCTGTTAGTTTTAAAATCATTAAAGTTTTTTTAGTAATTATACTTGCATCTCAGTTATACATATATTTAGTCACTAGCTGTCCAGTGAAATGGGTCAATTTTCCCAGTTTTGGTATCTTGTCATTAGATTTATTTAGGGTTAACTTAAATTTACTTTAAATTTAGATTTGAGTTATACTGGATTAAAGTCAGACTTACAGATTTCTTTCAAGCCTCTTGTTCTTATTAGGAATAATGGACATAAGGAAAATTACTGTTAAATTTACTACTGTGTGTATTCTCTGTATATTTAGGTCATTGTGATGGGAGCCACTAATCGACCTCAGGACCTTGACTCCGCCATCATGAGAAGAATGCCTACGAGATTTCATATCAATCAACCGGTGGGTGGTGGTCATTGATAGAACGAACGGCTAAATAGTAGCATGTGTGGCCATCTTTGGTTGCGATGCCAAGCGGGGGATATTTGGTGCTTGTTCCTGTTCATCCTAATTCTATAGTCGTTGTGACAGGCAGAGGAGAAAGAAGGCCAGGACCATGCTCATTTGCTTCTTTGTCTTTTGTGCTCTTCTTTACCTTTCTCTTCATTGTTTTTACCCCTAAGATCATTGCTGTGTGCCTTCTATGACTCTTGAATGTTTTTATTCACCTCAAATTAGTCTAGCATTTTCAGTGATTAGGATATAATATGTTATATAAGAAAATCTAAATTATTGTTTTGGGTTTAGCATAGAATAAAATTGAGGGAATGAAGTTGTAGTATTATTCTGCTCTGAAGGCTTAATTAGAAATGACAGATCATTTGATTAACTTCTTTCCTGTAATAGGAATTGATTATTAGCTATCACTTCAAATACAAAACTGACTTGTCGATATGTTGTGCTGTGGTGGTTGTCTTACTATGATGCTGAAAGCTGTGTGTTGCAACTGCCCCACCCTCCCCCAAGTGGGTCAGTTCCAGGGGAGCATCTAGACCAACGGTTCTCAACCTGTGGGTCGCAACCTCTTTGTAGGTCAAGCAACCCTTTCACAGGGATCGCCCGATTCATAACAGTAGCAAAATGATAGTGATGAAGTAGCAACAAATATAATGTTATGGTTTGGGAGGCTCATCACAGCATGAGGAACTGTATTAAAGGGTCATGGCATTAGGAAGGTTGAGAACCACTGCCCTAGACTAAACACTTAGTGATCTGCTTCTGAAGATCACTTAGTGACAGCCTGTAGATTACAGCTATCATCCCTGGTGATTGGTATCATACTTGGTGAAGTGGGTGGCATGAAAGACCTCTGGTGAGATGGATTGACACAATAGCCACAGTGATGGTTTAATGTGCTGGCACAGAGCTTGGCAGGGTTGCCTTCTGCTGTACATAACATCCCCATGTGTTGAAGCTGATTCACTGTCCAGTATCAATAGGATATTTCAACTTAGGAATGTGTTGCCTCCTTTCTAGCATCCCCATTAAAAAGCTACGCGCCCCCAAGTAGATGGATATAGACTATTGCTACCTTGGAATTGTTCCACAGAATCTCAAATGCTAAGGTTTGTTACGTTCAGATGAAGAAGAGGGAAAAAGCCTGCTTGAGTTGTGCACGATGGACTCCGTACAGTCATGTACAATCATGTACAGGAGCTTTTACTTTGCCATTCTCTTGCAGATTTTGAAATTAAAATATTACCAAATTTACAATCTGTATAAAATTACCATGCTATTTGAAAATTGAAGTGATAAAGCAACTAGGATATCTTTTAGTTGAATGTGGGAGGCTATAAAATTATGTAGTATAACTCATAGTTATTGGCATCCTTGTGGCAGCTACCTGCTAACCTTTGGTAGATGGTACATGCCCCCTATCCTAATAGAAATGTGTAGCAGGGAAGATAGGTACATAAAAAGTGAAGTATGCTTTAAAAAGGAATGTTTAAAGAACTAAGCACCTGAGCGATGGTGAGGCTTAATTCCATCTAAGGAATCAGCGAGATTTACAGAACCCAGCCAGCTGGCCTTGAGGGATGGTTAGATGTGGGCATTTGAGGGAAGGGCTTAGGAAGGAAGGGCTTTCTTGTCTGCAGAAACAAATGTTCAGTGGCAAAACTCTAGGAGTGGATTTCTTGTCTCAGCACCCTGAGACAAGTAGATGGAGAGGAGGCTGCAGCCAAGTTTAGATGAACTATGTGGATTTTATTTTATAGTCCATGAGAACTTTTTTTTTTCATTTAAGTTTTGACCAGAACGACTCTTAAGACAGTGATAACTGATAGTCTTTGCTAGTGGTCCAGTAGGAAACATATTTTTTGTATGGCAGAAGAAAACAGGAGGATACAGCAGTATGGAAAGTAGCATTCATTAGAGATGTAAGTTTAAGATGTTAATTGTATGAGATAGCAAATGGGGTGTCAGTTGTGGTTACCATAGAAACTAGAACCCTGGCGGCACTCTGGGTTAGGCACTGGACTGCTAACTGCAAGGTGAGCAGTTCAAACCCACCAGTTCCTCTTCAGGAGAAAGATGAGATAGATGGCCAGCTCCTATATAGAGTCTAGGAAATGCTGTGTATGGTCAAATATGAGTCTGAATCCACTCAGTGCCACTGGGTTTGGACCATAGAAACAGAAAATTTTAGCCCCTTTCTATTTTTAGTCAAAATACAAACACTGCTCATTGTGAGATAATTTTTTTCTTGTTACATAACTCTGCTGTATGACTACCTGAAAATTCCTCCAAAGTAAACATTTACTGTACCAACAAATGGTAGATATTGGTGATTGTGTAACGAATTAACATTTGCTGTTGATACTCGCATTGAGTGAAGCAGGGTTTGTCTTGGTTTGGCTTTCAGATACTTTTATATGATAATCTCTAATTAGCCCTGCTTTGTCAATATTTATGGGAATAGGAATGAGTCAAGCCATGGTAATTTTTTTTTTTTTTGCCATGGTAATTTTTAAAAGCACTTATACTGCCTGGATGTATAAGATATTCTATAAATGGAGTTAATGTTTCTTTTCTCTGGTGTAATAATTTGAGGCATCACTGGGGGAACAAAAGCATATATATCTATAGGCACATAGCACTAATAGCACCAAGTGAAAATTTACAGATATAAATTAGTGAACATGCAAGTTATATGTTGAAATAGATGGACTTGTGAGGGGAAGTATTACCATCTCTTCTAATTGTTGATAAAATGTTACGGTGGTGGTGAGTTTTTAGAAGTTTCCTTAAATTTTGAAAGAGATTTGGCAAGCTTTAGAAGAAAGGTGTTATATTCATAGATACTCATTTACTCAGGAAACATTCATTGCCAGTCACTGTGTGAGGCGGTGGAATAGAGTGAGAGAATGCAGTTCCTGCTGACAGCTGTAGTTTAGTCTAGAATCGAGACTTGCTTTAGCCAGGTTACCATTGGAAAGGAAGGAACAGCAGGAAAAGTAGTTGATGCCTTTTTTTCTTTTTTTATAGCTAACTGAAAATTATCTTGGTTTTAGGCTCTGAAACAGAGAGAAGCAATCCTGAAACTGATCTTGAAAAATGAAAATGTAAGTAGAAAATTACATTTTCCTTCATCCTATAAACACGGTTATGTCCGTAGATCATTTTAGAAGTGTAAAAGAAGACCTGAGAATAATGTAGCGGTGAACACCACCTAAAATAGTGTGAAACTAGTGATTACGCATATAATTCAGTAACTGTAGTATATTGGCATATTTGAAGTAATTAAGAGATAACCTTTCAGTTCAAAAAAGCTGTATGTCTTCTCTTAGCTGTTTAAACCTATGCAGGTTATAGAAAAGACTTATTTTAAACAGAAGTGTTTTACTATTTGGTGTTTTTTAAAAATTGAATAATATTTCAAGTCAAAATACAGGTTTAGCATAAAGTGAAACAAAATCATCAGTAGCCTTTGTTTTTAAGTTTTTATGTAGACAAGGCCGCCACATGGCTCAAAAGTTAGAGTACTGTATACATTTGCATATAAGCCGACCCAAATATCAGCCGAGGCACCTAATTTTACCACAAAATTGCTTTAAAAATGTGCTGGAAAACTCAGCCATACACGAGTATGTATGGTATATATGGTAAGTAGTTGTGCTGTCCTAATTAATGTTCTTTGGTTTACTTCTTTGGGTTCTAATATCCAATGCAGTGACTATACAGAATTCACAGACGACATTCATTATTAAAGAGTTTATTAAGAAAATTAATAAGTTACAATGCCAGTGACATTGCATTGGGTAAATCTGCATAAGACCTCTTTAAAGTGTTATAAATAAGATGTGCCTGACCCAAGCCATGATACTCTCTTTGTTTAAGATGATTTTATTGGGGGCTCTTAAAGTTTTTATAACAATCCATACATCATTTGTGTCAAGCATATTTGTACTTATGTTGCCATTGTCATTTTCTAAATATTTACTATTTGAGCCCTTGGTATCAGCTCCTCTCCTCCACCCCCCCAGCCCCATGACCCTTAATAAATTATAAATTATTTTCATATCTTACAGCAACCACTGTCACCCTTTACCCAAATTTCTGTTGTTCGTCCCCCTCGGGATGGGGGTGGGGGTTATGTGTCCATCAATGTGATCGGGTACCCTTTCCTCCCCTTCTCCCCCCACCTTCCCCCTACCCTCCTGGTGGATGGTTTGAGCAGAGGCCTGAAGTCCGTCCACTTTCTCCATGTATTACCATATAAATATAAGTACCTACGCCAGTACCTCTTTTTATGAATTAATATAGTTACATAAGTGCACACTTATGTTATACCTCTATCCATAGCTTTGCTTCCTAGATCTTTTCTCTGTTTCCTTTTACCGTCTCCTGTCCCACCATCATGCTAGCCCTTCTTCCTCTTAGTAATTCCTCTCAGCTAGATTTTGAGGGCTCTCCAGGGGCTTTGTTGCTTTGCTTTGCTCCCATTGCTGACCTGTTATGTTCTCTTCTTGGTGTTTCCCCTCCCCCCCGGGAGGGGGGTTGTCAGACACACTCACTCCCTGCTGTGTGTCCCCAGTATTGTCCTCTGTCGAGGTATGTTCCAGTGAGGGGACATTATGTCCCAAGCTGTTGTCAGCCCTATAGTCCCATCTGTGTCTTAGCATCTTTGTGCAGGGACGTCGTCCTCAGGGCTTGGTGTGACAAGTGTCCCTCACTCTCTTTCCTTGGTTTGCTTCCATGTGGGCATGGCATGCCAGCCCCTCTCCCAAACCTGTAGGTTTAGTGTTGTCCTCTGTAGCACATACTTCTAGTGGGGGGCTCAGTTTGGCTGTGATTGGGGCCGCCGGCCCTGTAGACATTTCTGTTTTATGAGTTGCTCTATATGGTTATGTTGCCCTCAAGGGTTTGCACACCGTGGTGTGGTCTGCACTCACACTCCCTTTTCTGTGGAGATATAAACAATACCCTTCCCCTGCATGGATTTGTACCCTTCTCCCCCAGTGCCGTCGTCTCTCTCTTCCTCCCCGCTTCCTCCGCCCCTCTCTTCCCCTTCTTTGTGTTGGAATGACATGAAGCTATGATACTTTTAATTGACTCATATGCATGTGAAAGTTGGACATGGAATAAGGTAAATCTAAGAAAAATTGATGCATTTGAATTATGGTGCTGGCGAGGAATATTGAAAGTACTGTGGACTGCCAGAAGAATAAACAGAGATCTCTTTTGGAAGAAGTACAGTCTGAATGCCCCTTAGAGAAGGATGGTGAGACTTCATTTCATGGACTTTGGACATGTTCACAGGGGAGACCAGTTCCTGGAGAATGACTCCATGCTTGGTAAAGGAGAGGGGCAGTGAATAAGAGGAAGTCTGTGTTGTCTAGAGAAACAAAACCCATGACAATCATGTATGTATAAGGGAAAGAACTTTATATTAAGTAATTTTCTATCAAGAAGGTACCCCAGCTCAGTCCAACTCAAGTGTATAAGTCCGATCCTAGCCAGGGCCCTCCGCAGGCCAATGACGCAGAGAGATCACAGGCCCATGGGTGCAGAGTCTCTTGGATCCAGAGTCAATGGAAACATGGCAGGAAGCTGACAGCTCCCAGGTTGGCTCCAGGGTGAGGCAGTTCACATGGGCCTGCCCCTGGAGGCAGACACAGAGTTCCAGCAAGCAGGAAATCGAGGGGGCAGAGAGATAGAGGAGGGGTCCCAAGCATTTTATATCAAAAGGTTGCACATCCCAGGAAACATCAATCAGGCCTGATTGACAGGTGGAACACCATCTCTCCACGAGTATAAATTGACAAAAACTACCACAGCCTTCTGCAATATGGATTGACATGGTGGCTGCAACAATGGGCTCAAGCATCATAATTGTGAGGATGGCACAGGGACCAGGTGGTGTTTCCGTGTGTTTTACTCAGGGTCCCTATGAGTCGGACCCAACTTGATAGCTCCAAACAACAACGCTAGTAAAATGCTCAGGCCGGTTACTTAGAAGGACCTGTTACAAAGTTCTTTCAGGGCTGCTAATAAGTGCCCAAAGGGGCATACTACTCTGCTGGAAGCCTCAACCCGAAGGCATTCAGATCAAGCTCTGTGGGTCAGCAAACCCAGCTCCCTGAATTAAGTGCCTGGAGGCACCCCAATCCAATAATCCTCAGCCTAAAGGCATTCAGCAAGCGTAGCTTCCCCAATTAAGTGCCCAGAGATACTCCTACACAAAAGCACCCAGCTCTGCTTGCTTCCTGGGTTGGGAAGACTGGTCCATGTTCTGACTCCCAGTTCTGCCTTTTGTATTCTGCACAGGAATCTTGGGTTCTAAGGACCCGCTCTACTCCTGGCTCTTGCTGGTAATGGAATCCATCCTCCTGCTGCTCAAGGGGCTCATTTTATATGCAACAGCATGGCATTCCAGGGAGTCCTGTTTACAGATGTCAGGATTCTCCTCCACCTTCCTAGAGTCATATTAAATCATTCACTGCCCCTGTAGTAGTTTACTTGGAAAATTCTGGAACTTTTCAGATTGGAGTTATGCCTATACAAACAAATTAGACTGTTTGTATTTCCTTCCTCCTTTTACTTAACACATAATAATAAACTGCACACACTTAATGTTTTTTCTCATGCTTTTGCAGTATTTTCATAATAGCTTGTAATTTCCATATCTGTTGTATAGTATATTATTACTTAATCAGTGCTCTATTGAATGGCTTTCAACTTGATTCACTTAGATGTCTGTTATAAAAATATAGCATTGAATAACTTCGTAAAAATGTATCATTCCACATTTAATGCAGAAATAACAGCAGAATGAATTTTTTTGACAGCAAAGTTTAGGTCAAAGGTTACAGTATATGAGATTTTGGTACTTAATACTAATTTACATGTGTTGATCTAGCCTCTGCTAGCAATGCAGTGTTAGAATGCTGCTCTCCCTCTGGTCTTGCCAGCAGAATGGTATAGAACTTTGTGCCAACCTTATAGGTAGGAACAGGTATCTCTTTGTAGTTTTAATTTGCGTTCTTTAGGAATGAAGTGAGTATTACATCATTTGAATCCTGCCCCTCTCCCCAACGCCTGTCCATTTTTCTATTAAAATACTGTTATTTTTCTTTCAAAATTATAGGAACTATATGTGTATTAAGGGTATTTGCCATTTTCCTGTTATGTGGTTTAAAGTTTTGTTTTTAGTTTGTCCTTTTGATTTTATACTTATTTTTCCTGTTATAACCTTTATTACTAAATTAAAAAGGTCTTTTTCATTACGTGGTTAAAAAGAATTTTCCATATATTCTAAGCTCTTGTTTTTTCACCCAAATCTATTTGAATAGCATGCTATTCCTCACTATCCCTAACTTGTTATCTTGCTATTTGACTGTGCTGTCTAAGCTCGGAAGCACAGAGATTGCATTTCTATGATTTCCTTTTCCGAACGCCTCTTAGCCCGTTGCTAGTCCTGTTCTTGCTGTACTCACCACTTTCTCTCTGCCTGTCCTGTCCATCACATCTGTAACAACAACACAAAACCTGTATTCGGTTTTTAACATTCTTGTACCATAATTATAACAGTAATTTTTATTTTCATTGAACAATCTGGGTTTCCTAAAAGGTTTTAAAAAACCATTTTGTGCAGGATATGTGTACAATTCACACATTGCAATTTTTAAAGTATTGTTTAATATTCTTAAATTATAGGCTTCTCCTTAACCTCTGTTCTTCCTTTTCTTTCAATTATATAATGGAGAAATCAGGTTGTGTTTGTCTGTTTTCCCCATCAAAAATGCTCTCAAATCAAGAGAGTAGATGAGAGCCAGGTGTAGGTGGAAGGGAAAGGGAAACATAGCTACTTACTAAGTAGAATTTTATTTTTTCATATCTGTAGCTCCTCTGTAGTTTGCTGTGTAAATCATTGATATCTTTGATAAGTCTAGATGCATGATATGAATCCAACTTTGCTTTAGGTTTTCCATGTAGATACCCAGTTGTCCCATACCATTGACTGAACAGACCATTTTTCTCTGCTGAATAGCGAGCGATGTTATGTCGCGTACTGGAAGCCCCTGACTTACAATGGAGTTTTTCCCCACAATAACTCTCTTGTAAGTTGGTGCTGATGTCTTTTTTCCTCTTTAATTTTCATTATTACTGCCTTTTATTATCCATGTCTTTGTAAATTTAGTCTTTGACTTGGGATGTGGCATGAGAATGGCCGCCTAAGCAAAATGCACATGGCAACGTTGTATGTAGTGCACATTAGTAACAATATAGTACACATTAGTAACAATATAGTGCACATTACTAACAATAGAGTACACATTAGTAACAATATAGTACACATTACTAA